TTTAAAAGTTCAAAGATCCCAGATTAAGAATGCCTATTCTAGATGTAAAAAGGAGAATCTAGGAAATAAAAATAGAGAAAATTACATAATAGTTATTATTCTTCAATTTAATTTAACTCAAGTTCTACCCTGATGCCTCATCCAATGGATTACAAATTCCAGTAGGTCCCACAAAATGGGAAAAGCCTATGTAGGCTTAGCAATGGACTGTGTTATTTATTGTTAAAAGACTTGCAAAAAAATTTTTTTTTAATTTTTAAAAAGACTTGCCCTAGCAGAGAGCTTTATCATTGGAAGATAGCCAAGACATGATGAATGGCTGAACAACTCATCTACCAAAGTATGAAGGGGTGGAATTTATGTTAGTGGAGGAGGTGCCCATGCCAGTGAAATCATAGATACTTTGAAATATTATTCAGTGACTTAGAGCATCCTAATACTTCTAATCCTTCAGAAGCTCAGCTCAAATGTCACCTCATCTGTCAATCCTTTGCTGATCTAGTCAAGGGGAAGAGATCTCACAGAACTTTATCTCCTCGGAGAGGCAACCTGATAAAGTGGAAAGAATACTGACCTTAGAGTCAGGAGGAACCTCAGTGCAGATCCTGCTTCTTGTACTCACAAGTTGTACCGTACTGGGCAGGTCACCTAACATCTCAGAGCTCTGAAGCTGCCTCATTTGTAATACCCTTAGTCATTATATTATAAAAACATGAGAACAAAATAAGACTATGTGTTCATATGTGTGTATGTGTATACAGGGTGTCCTAAAAGTCTTTTAGGAACATGCATACACATATAACATACATATATATGTATGTATATACAGAGTATCCTCAAAGTCTTTTAGGATTCTATCTATACATTTGTATATGTGTGTGTACATATTTATATATGTGTATGCATGTATCTACAGGGGATCCTAAAGTTAATTTAGGCATGTATATATGTATGTGTACATGCACACATGTGTATATGTATGTATGTGTGTATGTATGTATGTATGTATGTATGTATGTATAACAGGATCTCCTGAAAGTATTTTAGGAGCATGCATACATACAGCATACACATATGTTTATATGTATGTACATACAGAGTATCCTCCAAATCTTTTAGGATTATACACACATATGTGTGTGTATGTGTGTGTGTATATATATATGTATATGTGTGTTTGTGTGTGTATATATGTATGTATGTATGTATAAAGTGCCCTAAAAGTCCTTTAGGATACTATCTATCTACCCATACACATATGTACACATATGTATGTGTTTTCATACACGTGCATGTATATGCACATATGAATGCAGAGTATTAAAATAACTTTTAGGACTATACACACAGACATTCATATATGTATACATGTATGTGTGTATGTATATATGCATATATAAAAAACTGTAAACTTTAAAGCACTACTTAAGTGTCCGCTGCTATGTGCATGCTTATCTTTGTACACACTATGTTTCCTACTAAGCTTCCTGAGGACAGGACTTACAGCTTATTTATCTTTGTATTTCTTCTAGGGCCTAATATGTAGTAAGCACTTAATAACTGTTTGTTGATAAAATATTCACCACCCTACACAAATATGCAAATATTGAGTCCTACTCTAAGTATTTACAATTTATGTGATAATTAATATGAGTCTGAATTTATGCCACCTATTAGCCCCATACTGGGAGAAAGATAAAAATCAAATGAGAAAATCTACTAAGTTTTGCCTTTTACAATTTTGCATTCTTGTACATAGCTTTTACTAAGATGACAGAATGACTATATATTGGTGACTCTATGTGTGATGCCTACTAATATAACTATAGATAAAAGAAATTGTAAGGCTGGATGTTTTGCCGTACAAAATAGTAATCTCATGACTCTAATCTGTGAGCTCAGCCCTACACTTTCACTTTCCCAAGTAACCATCCACTAGGATGTCTAGAGAGTACCCCAAGCAACACGTCCCAAACAGAAATCACCTCCCCTAAATGCTGCCCCTCCTCTCAATATCTTTATTTCTGTTGATGGCTCCATCAAGCCCACCCCCATCAATCACTCAGCCTTAACATTTGAGTAACTCCTAGTTAGCCAATTCCTGTTCATTCTGCTTGCATATTCATCCTTCTCCCATCCGTCTCTTCCTTTTTGCCTCTACTTCATTACCTCTCCCATAGACTATTGTAACAGCCTCCTCACTGGTTTGCCTGCCTGCATTCTCTCCCATCTCCAGTCTATCAGTCACATCACTGACAAAAATAATCTTCCTAAGGCACAGATGGACCATTTCATTCCCTTGCTCAAAGACCTTTAGCAGCTCCCTACCGCCTTTAGGATAAAATGTGAAAGCCTGACATTTAAATCCATTAATAATTCCACTCTAGGTTATCTTTCTTGTCTCATTTCTTCCTCTTTCACGCATTCTATGTTCCAATCAAACTGAACTACCAGCTATTCCCTGAATTCATCCCACACTCTCCCCATGCATTCATACAAGCTTTCTTTCATGCCTGAAACCCTGTTGTTTCTGCCTATTGAAGTCCTTCTATTCCCCCAAGGCCCACCTTATGTCTTCCATGAAGTCTAGTTTGAGATGCTATGTTTTAAAGAAAGAGAGAGAATGAAGAATGATGCCAGCAGTGAAGTAAATGGCTTAGTGTTGAGTAAGAGCTCTATTCATTCTGGATTAAAAATCATGGGAAACAATTAGACGTTAAAAAATGCAACAGAACTAGGTCATAATGATTGACATGTAGTCTCTTTTACCTGGAGAACCATTTAACTAGAAGACCTTAGAATTTAGAGCTGAACCTCGTTGGGTCTCAGAAATTTCTTCCATAGAATGAGGGAAATTGGATTAAATAATCTCTATGGTCATTTCTGGCTCTGGATCTAAAATCCTATGATCCCTTTAACCATTTTCATTTTATGGATGAGTAAACTCAGGCTCAGAAAGGCTAAGTGACTTGCCGAAAGTCACACAGGTAATAAGGTAATCAACAGAATTGGGACCGGAACTCAGGCTCTTTGAAAGCAAGTCCACTGCTGTTTTGTTCACTACCCCAGGCCATTTCCTGTTCCATGAATGTGTATACTTCACAAGATGAAACCACCATTACAGCACATTCTGCTCTCCAAAATGAAAAAAAAAAGTCAAACTTCACTGAGTTATGCCTACATTTTTTTTGCTGATACTTGAAAAAGTGTACTGTACACACCCATAAAAGCACCCTATGAAATGTAAATGAACTCAACTTTGATAATTCAGCATTTCCTGAATCACTTTATGCCACTGAAGAGAAGGAAATAATTTATTTTGGTAATTCCACTAGTTTGAAATTCCTAATGGGGAATAGCTAGTAAGGGTATGGGAAATAAAATCCATAAGATGGTGATGATCACCAAAATGGAATATGTGCAAAATAATGGCTTTACCCACTTTTCTATTTATAGGATCATTTTTTGGTTAGGAGATCTAGGTTCTTAATCTTTTCTCTGCTAATAATAAGGTGTGTGACTTTTGGCAAGTCATTTTATCTGTCAAGTCATGGAGTTGGGCGAGATTATCTCTAAACTCCCTTCCTGTGATTATTCTGTAATTATTATTATTGTTATTTGTTGTTGTTCAGCTGTTTCAGTGGTGCCTGATTCTTTGTGACCCCATGTGAGGTTTTCTTAGCAAAGATACCGGAGTGGTTTTCCATTTCCTTCTCCAGCTCATTTTACAGATGAGGAATAGAGGCCAACAAGATTGAGTGACCTGTCCACAGTCACACAACTAGCAAATTTCAGGACAGTTTTGAACTCAGGTCTTCCTGACTCTAGGTCCTGTATTTTATCCACTGTGCTACCTCACTGCCTTTCTAGTATTTATTATTATGTGTAACATTGTTATGTTGTCAATACTATTTTAATATTATTCCTGTAATCATTCCTATGATTCTCTACAGAACAGTAAGTTTTCAAAGCTTGGAAGTTTCTTCTTATTGAAAAAGGACCTGTCCCACTGTTTAAAAGATGGGTTTACATGCAAACTCTGACTGATATTCTTTCTGTCTTTGGTCCAGCCTGCTTAGTTTTGTGTTCTCAGGCATGAATGACAGTTGAATGTTTAGTTTTATTTTTTTTTCTTCTGTTCGTGTGTGTGTATGTGTGTGTGTGTGTGTGTGTGTGTGTGTGTGTGTGTGTGTGTGTAAAGAAACTTGAGTAAACATTTCTCTTTAGAAATAAGGAGGAAATCCAACTCCCTGATAAAACCAAAGATGCCATCAGGATAAAAAGCAGAAGCAGTTGCAGACCAACTAAATTCAGTTGGCCAACTCCTAACATTATAGAAAAAAGATTTTATCTATACAAAGATTTCCACATCAGAGCCAGCACAGCTGAGTGACTCTTGATTTCCACTTCATTTTTTCTTGGACTCACATTATTCTAGTCCTCAATTTTGGGAATCTTGCTGTGTTTAGGAACTTATAAACTTTTCGACATCTGATCATTCACTATAGGAAAAGAACAACTTGTTTAAAAAAAATCAGACAGCACTTATCACAATTCATACTTGTAGAGAGCACACTTGTTGTGTGCCAAGGCTGCTGCTGTTGTTGTTTGCTTCAGTGCCTGGACCTATAAATATTTTTGTACATAAAAGACCTTTTCCTTTTTCTTTGATCACTTTTGAGGCATGGGCCTGGTACTGGTATGGCTGGGTCAAAGGGCACACACTGTTTAATAATTTGGGGGGGGTATAACTCCAAAATGCTTTCTAGAATTGTTGTAGCCATCCACATCTCCACCAACAGTGCAGCAATGTGTCTGTTTTCCCACTGCCCCTCCAGCATTTGTCATTTCCTTTTTGTGTCATCTTTGCCACTCTGAAGGGTGTGAGGTGATCTCAGAATTGTTTTCATTTCTTTAATTAGTAGTGATTCGGAGCAAGATTTTGATTTCACTGGACCTAGTGAAAGAAAAAAAATCCCTGCAAGTTTTGATCAACTCACCAGTGTCACCCATGCCGGTGTTCTGCAGGAAAGTGCGACATCGTTCCTTATGCTCCTCAAGGGAGCTTCTCTGCTTGTAACTCCTTCCGCAAAACTCACACTTGTAGGGCTTCTCAACTAGGAGAAGAGCAGAGGTGTACTCAGTAACCACCAGGGGCTCGAGGACAAACACCACCTGGTTGGTAGCTTTGGGCTCTAGGTTCACTGACCATGAGGAGGGAGGGAGGGGGGGAAGTCTTTACATTGCAAATTATTACTGCACTTAATTTTTGTGGAATAAGATGGCAAATATCCTGTAACTAGTAGTCCTAGCAGAGACAGGCAGTACAGAACGCTGTTTGACTCTTCCCAAGGGCAACGTATCAGGGTAAGAAAGGGGAATTTCAATGTACTGACTGTAACGTAAGAGCTATCATTGTCTTCAAGCCAAGTCTTCCTTTCCCATAAGATATTCATATGGTTGTGTTTATTCCTCCAGTTGGTCAGTGGGGTGTAGGGATAAGATCAGAAGAGAAAGCCTCCTTTGGTGGTGGTGGTAGTGGGGGGCAACCTGGCTAGAGGTAAGAAATGCTGTTCCCTAGGAGACCACTGCCAATTAAAGCTTGATGGGTTGCCCAAGGCACTAATATGGTTAGTGGTCCTTGCAAAATGGAAATGTTCCTCCTTATACTGTGGCTGGTTGGGAAAGTTCATGATTTTGTTGTAGCAATAGTAAAGACTGGGCCAGAGAAATGCTAGTTGGGCTAATCTCAATAGCAATGCCAATCCCAAACTAAATATTAAAACCCCATAGCCCAAGCTTTTGAGGTAAGCAGATAAACTGGTCCAATTGTTTGAATAACAGTAATGGGAAGGGGGAGTTTTCACCTGAACTATCCTGATAAGGACCAAGAAGCACTGAGTAAATGTTAGCTGAATGAATCAAAAAGCTTCCTCAAAAGGTTATACACATAACAGGGGACCTATACCTCTCCCCCCCCTAATCTCCAAGTTACTTTCTTTGAATTATCCAAGAAACAGCTTTAATTTTCTGCATTACTCAGGGTGTAGATCATTCTGATGCTAATGAAACATGTATCATGAACATGATATTATGTATTAGCAGCTGCAACTTTTATTTTATCTTTTTTCTTTAGCTGAAATTTTTTTCTTTTTCTTTTTTTTGGGCAATGGGGTTAAGTGACTTGCCCAGGGTCACACAGCTAATAAATGTTATGTGTCTGAGGCCAGATTTGAACTCAGGTCCTCCTGAATCCAGGGCTGGTGCTCTATCCACTGTGCCATCTAGCTGCCCCTGAAATTTTTTAAAAAATCAAATATTTTCCTTAAAATGTGAGTTTTCCATTTTAACTGTTTCATTGAGGGTTAAAAAGTGAAAAAATCCCATAATGAAACTATTTTAACTAATTTAATTTAAATTCAATGCAACCTTTAAGTTTGTTGTTAGCTAAAAATTTAAGTTTTTCCATTAAAGTCACTGGCAATCTCTAAGATCAATATTAAATATTTCCACTACTCTTGGTCTCACTACAAAAGACAATGGAAGAGCGTTCCGACTTTTCAACTAACCTTTGAGTCCTAACATATTTTAAGAGAATTCTGAAGCATCCTAGTCTTTGGGGTGAACATGTGCTTTTGCTCCCTAAAAGTCTCAGATTTAGTTGGAGCCAGACACTTGATTACTGATGGTTTTTTAATCAAAGCAACAGGAGCAAATCTCGACCAGGTTAAAGATTTGTTGTTTCTTTCAATGAAGTCTATTTCCAAGATAATTATCAAGAACATCAAGTGTCAAATTTTCGCTTTGAGGGTTGGGCTGCCACTGGCCAGTCTCTCCATCCCCCATTATATTTACATGAACTCAGTCTTATTTTCCTGGGTATGAAACCCTGAAAATGCAAAAAATAATTCATATCTGGGACCTTGATCGATCCAAATGAAAAGCAAAATCACCAAGGTTTTCATATACATTTGTACTACTGGTGGTTCTAGAGAATTAGGAAGCCTGATGGTTAAAAGAGAAGTTAACTTTTGAGAATTTATCCCAGGAGGGCCAAAAAGGAATCCCAAGATAATGCTTTCTTACCAAAACGACTGAACTTCGATAATATAGCATGAACGTCGGGAGTGGTGCTTGCTTATAGAAAGAGTCTCTTGAGTGAAAGATCTTTTTCAGGAAGCTAATCTTTCCATAAAACTTCTTTACAAGAAAATACTTGCTAGGCTGTGGAATTTCTGTAAAATGTTTAAAAGCCTCTTTTAAAGGGCAAGCTCTTCCTGTCTGACTATGCTGTTCTCTAGGGGAGCAAAGATGGTAGAGAGATGATCATTCCCAATGAGCCAGACGGAAGGCAATTAATGTCTTAATGAAAGTGTAATTAGCCCTAGAGGTCTCTGCTGTTGTTAACCCTTCAGAACATGAATGACAGATTAAACCTAAACATTTAACCCTTTAATTTTCCACAGTCAGAGTAAGAATGCCTAGAGTCAGTTCTTCACAAGACATGGGATGCTCATTTCTCTCACTTACCAGAATGTGTCCTAAGGTGACCTGTGAGAGCATCTCTTCTCTGGCACGCGTAGTTGCAGAGATGACACTTAAAAGGTTTTTCCCCTGTGTGAAGTTTAATGTGGCGGAGGAGGTTACCTTTCTGAGTAAAAGATGCCCCACACTGATTACACTGGAATGGGCGTTCACCTTTAAAAAGGACAAAAATGGAAACTTCCTGGTCACCAGGCAAGTGTAGAATGACATGTATACACACACACTCCCTATGGCAAGATGCCCTCATGGAAGTTTCTCTTTAGGAGGGATTCTGTCCACACTGGGGATCAGCTGGAAGTGAGATTTCATGGCAGGGGAAAGCCTCAGCTTATAGGCTACAGAATTACCTTCCCTGTAGACATTTTAGAATAAGATAAGCACCCTTTCCACTGGGGACAGTTTAAATATTATCTTTCTTTGATTCAATGTAATGAATTTGATGGTTTCTGGAAGTACCTTACAGATATAAGGTTTTATGATTTCCTCTCTTCTACTTAGAAGTCCACCATGATAAAAATGTAAGCACAGTCCAAGTAAAACCAATGGACCCTGGTCATAATAACATTTCAAATACAAGAAATGGATCTTTTTAAAAGTCCCTATATTAAAAGTCCAGGAAAGAGAATCACATTTAATGGGAGGGATACTTTTCTATGTATTTCTGTAGGCCATCCTTTTATTTTTAAAAGCATGTTTTTAAATTTGCCTTTAAAAAAAGTACCCCCTTTTCTTTCAAACCTGGACCTAACACAAAGTGACAGGCTGTTATTAAAGTCAAAATACAAACAAAGGATGAACTAGAAGGTGAATCACAGAACTTAACTCCTATTTCTTAACTGAAGAAGAAATATTCATGGACTTCTGATCTACGACCTCTTTCATTCAGAAAACTTATAAAATGTTTACTAGGTTTTTTGAAATGCTATGGTGAAGCAGAAAGAAATCAGTGGGGAAAATGATGCCCAGAGTAGGTGATAAGACCAGAACCATTCAGCAAAAGCAAAGGAAGATGCCAAGAAACCTGATGCTATTACTCATTGTATTGCTGTCCATGGCTGTAGCAGGACAGTTCTCAAGGGAATGGAAGAATATTTACCAGTATGGCTTCGCTTATGAACCATCAATACATTGAAGCTAATGCAGGCTAATCCACACACATCACAGTTCATTTTTCCACTAGTTGGCCTGCCGCTGTCATAAGAGACAGCGTGTCTTTCCAACTTAATGCTTTCATATTCATTATATTCTCTTGGATAGCTGTAAGGTATTTCAGGATCTTCCACATTTTCCATGGGGTCTGGCTTTAAAGCATTCTCATCCCTTTCACTGTATTCATCTTTCACTTTCATTGAATCATCTGCAGGGAAGAAAATGCGAGAAATGAAAAATGATTACTACGTCTGGAGCTAGCAAAGCAGCTCAAAGAGAAGAGACCCACAGCTGACAACATGATTATCAAATGAGTCTGGCATAATATCGAGGCTAACATCACCACAAAAACAAGAAGACATCATTAAGAAGATTAGTCATTCCTTGGGTTTAGAGTTACTGACAAAAAGAGAATGCAAAGAATGGATAAGAGTGATTTCAGCCCTTTGGAATTTAGAGGGAAGAGATATCTAACCATCACTAACACATGAAGTATTCTCATATCACTAAGTATGACAGAATGCTGCTATTTGCTCTCTTCTGACATACAGGATTTAAACTGGATTGGTTCTCAAAATTGTTGCCTTTTTTAGGAGACTGCAGAGAAAGGACTAGGAGATATGCCCTCAGATACAGGGACGTAATTTTTGAAGCCTTCAAATCCTAGTTACACTGCATTTAAGACTCCTTTAGACTGAAAGATAAGCAATAAACATGGCCTTCCTGCTTCCAAGCCATGCTTTTGTCTCTTCTCCCTTTCATTAATCATCAAAACATATCTTACCTGTCTATCTTTCTTGGGTCCAATAAAGACACTGCATTAAAAGCAGAGGAAGCAGTCAGTACTAGTGAAATATGGTTAAGAAGGCCAAAATGAGCTGTAATTTTACAATTTAAACTTCCAAGGAGTTAGGTAGGGGGGAGTTGGGGAGAGGAGTTCTTCAACTCTGTATAGGAGAGATACTAATGCCCAGGGTATGAGGGTGCTAAATGAAGGGGCCCAGAACTACAAGACTGAGGGAAAGTGAGATGGCTCAAGGGAGTAAGTAGTAGGCTGTTCCATACAGTGAGAATCACTAAAAGCACTTGATTAGAAATCAACCACTCAAGCTAAAGACTAGAAAAAGCAGGAAGGCAAATGTGTTCAGTGACACTAACAAAGTGAAAAGAATTATGCACCAGCTGACCTTACAGGAATGGCAATTAAAGATTTAATAACTGTAAAACATTTTTCAAATACTTAATGTTCATTGTTGTTTGCAAGAGCCTCTTAAAACTTTGGCTTTTAGAAATACCAAGTTACCCCTTGACCAGAGGAATCACAGAATTTGAGTGCTGGAAGTAATCTTAAGAGATCATTTCATTTAAAACTCTCATTTTACAGATGAGAAAAATGAAGACAAGAGAGAAGAGGAGACATGCCTACGGTCCTACAGCTAATTAATGGCAGAGCTGGGACTGGGAACCTATCTCCACATACATGGTGTCCCCAAAATCTTTGAATAGTTTAAAGCTGCACTGAGAGTCTGGAAACACCCTGCATGTGGATCTGTTCTCCAGGCTTACAAGGTTCAGGTGGTTCCTTGTTTGTGGATTTATTTTTTAAACTAGATCTGTGACTTAATTGACGTAGGGAACTCCCAGGGAAGAAATTCCCTTTGCTTGTGCACGTCAGAACCTGTTTTGCCATGTACAATCTTAAAGAGTTGCCTGGGGCACTTACTAGGGTAAGGTGACTTGACCAGGGTCACCCAGTAAGTATATGTCAGAAGTATGACTCAAACCCAGGTCTCCTTTACCCCTAGGCCAGCTTTTATTTTTCTATCAACTCTATCCCTCCTTGTTAGGCAACTATTTCCTCTTCTTCTGCAATGGTACAGACATTAAACCCCCAAACTCTCTTTGATGAAAAGCTTTAAAAAATTATATCCCTTCCAAAACACATCAATACGTGCTACTCCTGCCACCACACAGGAGGAAGTACAAACTGCAGCTGTGCTACCTTCTACCCAAGTTTCAATTTTCACTTCTATCAAGGTCTTAACTTTCATCTATATTAGCTTTGTTTGCTTAATAGAGCAAGACAGAGGCAATAACCATGAGCAGAGAAGACATCTCTCAGCAGCTCCATTCCACTGCTCCTCACCACAGGTCATGGTTCACAACCTTGTTCTCTACAGAATATTACCGACGGCCCTTGGTGCTTGCTCAGTTTCTTGCTCTGGGTTACAGGTGAAAGCTCATCTCCTACATGGGCATATTCATTTCCCAGTTTCTTTTGGGACAGAGGACAATCTTTACCTGTTCATAATGGGGGCTGTTTGGCCTACTCAGTCTTTGTTTTCTTCAGTCTGGTGGGGTTTTTTTTTAAAGGATGCACCTGAGGGCTGTGCCCTCCACCCCCTTCCACTGTCCCTCCAGCTGTGGGTGACATCCCACCAAAGCTTGAATGCTTTTCAGTTTGCATGTAGGCGTTAAAAAGAACCTCAACGGAAAACCTGAGTTCTGAAAACCAAAAACAGCACACAGCAAGGGCCAGCAGAAGAAAGCGCCTTTTCATTTTGGTTAGAAAAATGGCTGCAAAGACATTCGGCCAGTCTCATGGTCACTGAATGTAGAGAAGTGATGAAATGGGCTGGTCAGGTCAAGCAACATGCATGGGACACACAAGAGGAGGAAGAGATTGATGTCTTTGGTGCTACTTCCCTAAGGAATTCGGCTCTGGAGGGGCTGGTTCAACAACCCAGTGCTATTCTGTCATATTGACTCAACACAAGACCAATTAATGGTTATCTTAAGTCCAGAAGAATATGATGCATAGTCAGAGCATTTTTTTTCTCTTTCTCTCAAATGCCTAGGTCTTAAAGCAGAGAGAGAGAGAGAGAGAGAGAGAGAGAGAGAGAGAGAGAGAGAGAGAGAGAGAGAGAGAGGAGAGAGAGAGGGGCAGGCTGTTTAAAGAGACATGAAGGTCTTGTGGACCAAAAGAACATGCCTGTCATGGTTTAATACTGGGCTAGCCAATGTCAGGATGTCCCTGAATGGTCAATAAGAACCAGATGTGTAGCAAGCTAAAAGGAAACAACATGCAGCCAGGATTAAAGCACAGCTTTTGTTAGCAGCAGTAGCATTCATAATTAAAGAATATCATGGATTAGAATCCAAGGTCTGCAAAAGATCCCAGGAGGCTATTTAATTTAGTATCCTGACTCTAGGTAGGTTATACCTAAACTCAAAGAGACAGCTGTCTATTCTTCAGGAGGATACTGCTTCCAACCTTTTTACCACAAAAAAGTATGATTCAACTGCTTAAGAGGAGAGAAAACAGAAAATGGGAGAAAGGGGAGAATTCTTAAGGCCTCTGCAGGGAATACAGACCCTTCACAATAAAAAAGGAGAATTAGATGGATGAAGGGAATAAGCATTTATTAAACACCTACTGTGTGCCAAATGCTTTGCAAATATTATCTCACAAATTAGATCTAGTTGCTATGGACCCAATGCCCATAGAAAAAGAAATCTGTGCTTTTATCACTAAGGGTATGCCTTACTTTGCGCAGAGGGATGTTCCTGGTAAATCAAATTCTATTTTTCTCACTGATAGTCATCATAATTTTAGAGATGTTATCTTTTGTTTTTATCGATCTTCGGGTCACTGCTCATACTTTAGCTTTACCTGCTGAGGTTAAAACAAACAAACTACTAACCTGTCATCAAACACTTGACATACTAGGGAAACTTGTCATCAGAGCACACCAAATTTTTGTAAAGTAAAGAATTTCCCATAACTTATCTGTATTGTGAACACATATTTTCCTGTATTGTTTTTTCTAAAAGTAAGGTATACCTATATTATTATATCAATACTTAATCTGCTTCTTGAGAATAGTTCCAATTTAGCTTAGGGAGAAAAACATGAAAACACACATATACACACACACATGTGGGCCAAACCACAAACTGCTGGTGAAGGCAATTGCTCTAAATTCCCAGAGGGAAAAAGATGTGCAAATTGAAGCTAACCCACAGGAAACTAGATTAAACTAAACTTCTTTCAAAAAGAGCTACTCGGGTACATATGCTCCTGTTTTTCTATGTTGTGGAGGGCTTAGGAAGACTACATACACTGACATGCACCCCGTCCTCCTTCTGCTCCCCCCCCCAGGATTTTGTAGGCAGAAGAGAACAAAGGACTGGCTTGGTTCACTGGGGCTGATGCACATGGTTTCATTTCCTGGGGTGATGGTTATCACATGAAAAGCTTACACTCCAGAGTAGACATTTTTGGTTTCACCTGAGACATTGCAAAAACAATAGGTTCTGGAAAGAATCCAACATCTAAATCCTACAGGGGCAATATCAGTCTCAGCCAACTGTGCCTCGGTTTGTTCTTACAGGCACCATAAAATGCACCGGTGGAGAGAGGAACCTATGGAGGATGGCAAAACAGCAAAGGCAACCTGGGTGTCCATCATACAGCATTCACAGAAACTTCCACGTGGAAAAGGGGGATCCTGAACCTTCACTCTGAACTAGAGAGAGCTGAAATCAAGCCCTGGGAGACAGGCAAAAAGTTTGGAATTATAGCCTGAAGTTTGCTAATAGATACTATGAAGAAGCCAGAAAGCAGAAGACAGAGGCTGTTAAACATCAGAGGCACAAAAGGGTGATGCTGTTCAAGTGTTTTACAAGGATCGGGGGTCATAACCATGAAATCCTCAGCACATGCAAAAGTCAACTGGATAACAAAGAAACTTAATCATCTTAATGTGGCATTTTAATGATGCCACTGATTTGCTATGCCAATTCAGAGATAATGAGGCCCTAATGCTACAGATGTTCAGCCAGGCTAAAAAAAAAAAAAAAAAGGAAAGAAAAAAAAAAGAGCTTTTCTAGCATGCCATTTCCTAACTATCCAATTAAACAAATTGTGAAAGCATCTAAATAGTTTACCAGGTTTTGACAGCTGTTAATAGGATTTAGAAGCTTGAAGCACTAAAGAGCAGAAAAGGGAGATGCATGTATTGCGGGGCCTTAGTCTCTAGTCAAGTTTGTTGGCGGAGAACAAAGCATGCTTCTTAACAACTGAGACATCTCCACACTAGCTTGGTCAAGAAAATCATGTTAACCTCTAGATTTGTAAGGACAAGCCTTGGATACAGGGTTACGTAGAACACTTCTCCATCTCTTCAACATGCAGTTTTTGCCTAT